GTTTACGCGTTAGACGGTGACGCGGCGCTTACGCGCTTTGATATTTCGTATTTATGCAGTTAAAGCAGTACGATTGTTTTGAAAAAAAGTTTAGATCTTCCAAAATATGTCAAAATAAAGAAAACATTTTTTTCTCAAAAAAAAAAAATTAAATTTTTTTTTTTTTTTTAAAAAAAGTAATTTTTGGTCTAATTTATAGTTTCTCAAAAATTTTATTTTTTCGAAGTAAATTTTTTTCAAAAATGTTAATCGTTTTTTAAAAAAAAAAATTGGTACGGGAAGTTCCAGCAATTTGCCTTAAGGCACGATGCCTTAATTGCCTTAAGACAGAATTCCACTTACAGCTAGTTGTCTTCTAGATTTATAATTTATTTGCCTGTCAGTAGAGTGTCCTTATTTTGTCTTGTAGATTTATAATTTATTTACTCGTTAGTAGAGTCCTTCGTGGTCTTCTAGATTTATAATTTATTTGTTCGTCAGTAGAGTCCTTATTTTGTCTTCTAGATTTTATAATTTATTCGCTCGTCAGTAGAGTCCTTTTTTATCTTACGATTTATAATTTATTTGCTCGTTAGTAGAGTCCTTTTTGTTATTGTTTATATTATTAACTGTTTGAAAGAGAAGTTTGAGATATTCACGATGTTTCAAGTCATTTTGAATCGAATTCATGAACAACAATTTCGAATATCTGGCTAAAATATTTTTGAAGTAAAAATTCTTAAATCTTCTTAAATCTGTCAAAATGCAACGGAAGTGCGTTACGCTCGAGTCGAGTGCCAATGATTCGTCATTCGTTTTCGATGAGATCATTTCTATACGGGTCGATTGTGATTGGTCGTCGTGTCGCGTGAGAGTGTTCTTTGATTGTATTGCACTTTTTTTTTCATCCACGTTGTCAACCCCTGTCGAAGTCTTCTAATCCATATGTAGATTAGCATGTCTCATTTTTTTTTTGTTTTACTAAAATTTTACAGTTTTTCAGGTATTTAAAAATACACGTGATGTACGGTGGGGGAGGGGGGGGGGTCAATTTTAAATATCACCATGTATCACCGAGGGGTAGAATGAGTCCAAAATTCCTTAAAAACTCGCTAACGTGATTAATGGACGTCCCCCAATATATTATAGTTTCTGTTTTTTTAATTACATTATTTACTTTGAATATTTTCATGTTTCAGTTTTTTGTAACTTCCCGCAGGGTAAGTTATAGTAATCGCAAAAAAATCGAAAATGAAAATTTTTATATATCTTTACGTTTTAGAGGTTTCTGAATATTTTGGCATACCTTAGAAAAAATTGATGTATGTGTGTGTGTGTGTGCGTAGTATGTATGTGTGTGCGGACACAAATTTTTGTCGACGATTTCGGGAACACGAATGAAGCGATTTGAATATTTCAAAAACATTCGATTTGTATTGATAAGTGCTGATTAGTTTTTGGCGAAGGCAGGTCTAGCCGTTCCGAAGATACACAGCAAAAAGTGCCAAAAACGGTACCTCAGTTTTTAATAGAACGGAGCCTCCGATTTTAATAATTCAAAAAATATTTTACTCGTATTAACAAGATGAAGATTTGATCACATTTTTATAAGGGCAGGTTTAGCGGTTTCGGAGATCTAACGAAAAAAGTAAAAAAAAATGCCATTTGGCGGTCAAAAATGATCATTAGACATATGCACATCAAATTATCAGGTATTTTATAGAGATTTTAACAATAAGTATAAATTTTGTTTACATTCCTATGGGTTCCGTACCAATGTTTACCCGTTAGACGGCGACGCGGCGCTTACGCGCTTTATATTTTGTCTCTATGCATTTAAAGCAATACGATTGCTTTGAAAAAAAGTTCAGATTTCCCAAAATATGTCAAAATATAGAAAACATTTTTTTTTTTTTAAAAAAATTTAAAAAAATAATTTTTTTTTTGATCTTTTTTTTTCACAAAAAAAAAGTAATTTTTTGTCCAATTTATAGTTTCTCAAAAATCTTATTTTTTCGAAGTAAAATTTTTTCAAAAATGTATCGTTTTTAAAAGATAATAATTTTTGGTACAGGAAGTTCCAGCAATTTGCCTTAAGGCACGATGCCCTAATTGCCTTAAGACAGAATTCCACTTAAAGCTAGTTTCATTTTTAATAAAGGAATGATAACAATAATTGGTAATAAAGTGTGTATTTAAAATTAGAAAATTCTATTTTGAAATTGAGACAATATTATAGTTTTTCTGTTTTTTTTTAATCACATTATTTACTTTAAATAATTTTAAGTTTAACTAATATTGTCTTAAATTTTAAATATCAACTTAAAAAATACAATATCATAAATACATAAACCCTATTTCATACTAAATCATTCATATCATTTCTATGTTTAAAATTGTTCTCAAACTTTCAGTCAAATAGGCTTTCATCTCAGTTGTACCATCACTGGTTCCCTACTTCTGCCATGCATCGACATTACATTACAGGATTTCTACACTGCAATTTGATTTGATTTAATTGTTTTGTTACCTGCAGATATGTTTTGTTTTATTGCATAAAAAGATATTACTTTTAAAAATTTCAGGAAGCTATTGTATCAGTATATGCAAGGTTGAAGAATTTCTCCAAAATTTTATACCGATGAGCAGTATTTGCTAATATTGATGGAAGAGTCTCCTCCGTAGATTGGTAATTATTTGTGTGAATTTAATATTACATACCTGTTAAAATTTTATAATTTAAATTATATGCTCTCAATGTTTTTTCTTTCAGATTAATTTAGGTACATATATATGTTCTTATATAAGAAGTATTCATCATTTATTTCCAAAAGCTTTCAATTTATGTATTACATATAACATTTATGTACAATTAATATTATTATACAAGCCTACAGTCATGATACATATATATTTAATCTAATATAAAATAACATTTCTTTACCTAAAAACAGTTTCAAAGTTAAATTGAAAAATTATATAAGAGATAAATGAAATAAATGAGTTAAAATCCCTATTTTAAATACTATATTACTTCTGTTTTGTAAAAATATTAATTACAATTAAGTATAAGTATGTATGTATGTACGCAAGCGTTCTGTGTATATATGTGTGTATAATAGTAATAAGTAAAAATATATGTCTTAATGTAAGTCTGTTACATAAAATTTAGATTTTATTTTTGTTATAATTGCTGTGATCTCTCATACCAGAACAGTTGAGATACAGTATGTATGAATTATATCAAATAAATAAATAAAAAAAATTATAATTATTTATTAATTTGTCTAACTCAGTCCATATCGATGAAAATCCTGACTATGAAGTACAATTAAAAACTTTGTCTTTTTTACTCATGAATTTACCTTTGAAAGTTAATACAGCATCTCCAGATTTTACTTTTTTTTTTATTACGCCCAAAAGTACATTAATTTGGGTAGTAGTGATTTTGCCTAAGCCCACATTATTAACAAATGAAATAAAGCCATCTGGAGTGCAATGAATAAGAACCTACTTTCAAATACCCTGGAAACTACCCATGAATGAATCTGAAGAGTAAAACCTAAAGCAATATACACCTAAGTCTGTTTTTACATGGTCTTTTTGTACACGGTTTTGATATAACATGGTTTGAAAATTTAATATTTTTAATTTATTTACACGATTTTATTCCATTTAGCACGATTTGAAATTTTATGTACTTAAATTTCTGTGGAGAAAAATACAAACAAATATCCCAATATAATTGCTTTAGCACACGCAGTTGGTGGAGAGGGTTTTGTTGACTTGGTATCTGATGACATTGATGAACTGATGATTGATAAAGTTCTTAGCGAAGACGAAATATTACATTTTGCCTCACAGAATGCTAATGTTATAGAAAGCAGTGATAGTGAAGAATCTGTAAAATTAACTGAAAATTTAATTCAAGAAGGGCTTCAACTTGCAAATAAATTAGGACACCATTTTGTCGAAAATGATCGCAATGTCGAAAGAGCTGCACAATACCAACTTAAGCTGAATTCTTGTATGGCTCGTTACAAGGAATTATACAAAGAGGTAGCAAGAATTGGCAAACAACGGCTCATAACAGAGTTCATTTTTCAAAATGTAGATGCCGAACGAGCAAGAAAAAGTCCAGTTCAAAATTATTCCAGCGATGATAGTGAATGTATACGCGTTCAAAGCAGCAATTAAATTTATGTTGTTGTATTTATGATTATAACTTATTCTATTTTATTTTATTTTTTACCTTAAAAATTGAATAACCTATTCTTTTCGTTCACAACATAGTTTTTTAGTTCCTGAACTTGCCATACATTTAATTTATATTACTTTTAAGATTAGAGTGCATATCTTTTTTATCATTAATTACTATGCTTGTGAAAATAAGCATCATATATTTGATTTAATAAAATAAACATGAATTCTTGTTCTTAAAAATTCTTGTTTTTCACTTAACCCTTCAGGTTAATAGTTTTTAGAGATTAGGAACAATTTTTGTATAAGATCAATGTCTTTTTTTACACGGCTTCTTCTGAAACCAATCTACCGTGTAAAAACAACTTAGGTGTAACTAATTTCTAACTTTCATAATTTGTGTTTTCTAAGAATCAAACTCACAAACGGATTATTAATAATACTTTTATGCATGTAAATATGATCATTTAAGCAAATATTGATTTAATTCACTAAAGCTTCTTCAAACTTTGAATTTTCTTCATATTTTTCTGATTGAATATCCTTCCTGACTGTAAATAGTATGCATATTGGTAGTAGCAAACAAAATTTATATTTTAAATTTCATTGTTCTTACCTCTGTTATTGTGAAATCATAAAAGATAAATGATGAAAATATGTAAGAAATATGAATTATTAAATGTCTAACCTACTAAAAATGCACGTTTAACATCAAAACAAATATTAGTTGACAGAAAATTCAACTCATAAATGTGTCATCCGCCATATTTGTTTGGCGCCAAGTTTCACTTAAAATCCGCTAGAGGAGAGCTTGTCTAGTCCGTTCTCTATTCAGATTTCAGAGCACGTTGTTCAGTTGTTCGGCCGGTGTCCTGAGAGGAACAACTCTCCCGAAGAACAATTTTATTCTGTCGAATTATTCTATTTAGTTTCGTTTAATTGAATTGCCATGTGCTTTTGAGTGGCTGTGAACCTGAGATATCATTGTACATAATTACCAAATTTTGGTAGGCTGCTGTCATAAGGAAGAACTTAAGGTAAATCACTATTAATTTGTTCATATCGTTTGTAACTAAACTACTATTCTATTTTATTGACGATCGAATTACTTGTATATGCCTTTTTGAAAGGCATCGAATTACTTGTATGTGCACTTATTTCTGAATAATTCACCACAATATAAGTAATTTGTTTATTGCTATTATTTACTTTGACATATTTCTCGTACATTGCCGCCAATCAAAATTGCATCTATTCTGAAATGTCACTCGTAAACAGTGCTTCGTTTTTCTATTTTACAGTTCATTTAAAAAGTACTGTTATATAAATGACAATGCTGATAAAATTAAATGTACTTTTTCATTCAGGTGCTTAAATTGTTTAAATCAAAAACAATTCTATATGAATTTTACAAAATAGTACTGCAGTTGTGTACAAACGCATAGCGCATCCAAATAGATTATTATTTTACTTTATATTTTACAAATGAATTATTAGACAATATAATAGAAAAAACTAGTGGGGTGTATGGCATCGTGCCTTAAGGCAAATTGCTGGAACTTCCCGTACCGTAGCGAAATGTTCGAGGAATACTGAATGTTTTCAAATAGATTGTTATTAGTATTGAAACATTGTCTAATATTTATAAGAATTATATAAACTGAATTGCAAAGTTAAACATATTTATTTAAAGTACATTGGAACTTTAGTCAGAATCACGATTAAAATCTGAATTATTTTCGATTTACAAAAAAAAAAAATTTGAAAAAATTTTTTTTTTCAAATCAATTATTTTGTTAAAACAATCAGAAAGTTTTTTGAATCTTCAAATCGGACGCTTAGTTCTTTCAAAAACTGCCATTTTTTGCACATTTAGCTCTGTATCTCCGAAATGGTTAGGCCTGCCTTTACCAAAAACTAATAACCACTTCTCTCTATTATTACGAATTGAATGTTTTTAGATCATTCAAATCGGATGCTCCGTTCTCTCAAAAATTCGATTTGTATTTTCTGCACTCTTTGCTCCGTATCTCCGAAACGGCTGAACCTGCCTTTGCCAAAAACTAATCAGCACATCTCCCTATCAATAGGAATCGAATATTTTTTGAACCATTCAAATCGGTTGATTCGTGCGCCCGAAAACGTGACTGGAAATTTGTATCCATATATACACACATACATACACACACACATACATACACACACACACATACACACACACACATACATTTTTTCTGAGGTATGCCAGTAAAATGTTCAGAAACCTTCAAAACGTCGAGAAATGTAAAAATTTTCAATTTCGATTTTCGGTCCATTACAATAACTTATCCTACGGGAAGTTAATAAACCATTATGGCAGCAAAAAATGACCAAATATACTGACTGATCAGTGGCGTATTCTAAATGCGAGAGAAAGAATAAAAGGGATTTTATTGTCTGTTCTGACAGAAAAGCACCAGGAAGAAGGCGGCGAACAACATTTTATTGGAAAACATGTCAAAATCAACCAGCTATGCATTTTGGAAATTGTTTTGAACATTGGTCACCATTCTTTATAAAATGATCAAAAATAAATTAATATTAAAAATATATGTCCTTCAATGACCACAAATTTTTGTTAAACGAATTGCATAACATACACAATGAAATCAAGTTTACAGCCAGTACAGTAAATTGTTTTGAAATGGTGCCGTCACGTAAGTGTTAAAAATAAGGGAATATTATATAAAATTTAGAGCATTTAATCTTGTGGTGAAATTTATTTATTGCATTATCAACAACTTGATTATTTTAACACTAAACTCGTATATAATTATGTCAAAAAGGTATTTAAGATATTTTTTAACTTCCCGTAGGGTAAGTTATTGTAATGGGCCGAAAATCGGAATTTAAAATTTTTACATTTCTCGACGTTTTGAAGGTTTCTGAACATTTTGGCATACCTCAGAAAAAATGGATGTGTGTGTGTGTGTGTGTATGTATGTATGTGTTGATACAAATTTCCAGTCACGTCTTAGGGCGCACGGATCAACCGATTTGAATGGTTCAAAAATTATCCGATTCCTATTGATAGGGAAAAGAGCTGATTAGTTTTTGGCAAAGGCAGGCCCAGCCATTTTGAAGATACGGAGCTAAATACGTAAAAAATGGCAGTTTTTGAGAGAACTAAGCGTCCGATTTAAATGATTCAAAGAACTTTCTGCTTGTCTTAACAAAATAGTCGATTTTGGAAAAAAAAATTGTCCCATTTTTTTTTTTTTTAGTTTTTTTTTTAGTTTTTTAGTTTTTTGTATATCGAAAATATTTATTTTTAATTCTGACTATAGTTCTAATATACTTTACAAATAATTTCAACTCTGCAATTCAGTTTATATAATATTTATAAATATTAGACAATGTTACAATATTTATAATAATCTATTTGAAAACATTCAGTAATCCTCGAACATTTCGTTACGGTACGGGAAGTTCCAGCAATTTGCCTTAAGGCACGATGCCACCCACCCCACTAGTTATACATTTTAACTGCTATTTGATTTTTTATTCTAATTGAAAATAAAATTGTTCCTGATTTTTGAAGAATAATTTACACTATCATGCTTACTTAATAGAATTTTGACTAGTTATGTAAATCATGGATGATTGTACGTTTACCTTTTTATTTCATAAAAAAATCCGATTCGCTAATTTTATGTTTTCTCGACGTTTCAAGCCATTCTGAATCGAATGAGACCAAATTTTGAAAAAGTATGTGTGTCTGTGTGTGTGTGAACAGATTTTTTGCCGTAAATCGACGTTTTCTCAAAAATGGCTGGACAGATTTCAAACATTTAAAAGCCATTCGATGTATCTCGATGAGGACTAGCGTTTATCAAATTTGCGCGACGATCAGCTAAGCCGTTTCTTTGTAAATAACAAAAAAGTGAAAAACTTTTTGTTTACGTTTTAGCCCGCAGTTCTGAATCGATTTTGAAAATTCAAAAACGGTTCACAAGATATTGACTGGAAATCGTACTGATGAGTTGTTGGCAGAGATCGGCTGGGCCGTTTTCTTGTAATATAGTGTTGAAAAAAATTTTTTTTCGACGATTTTTATTTTTATTTTTTTGACGATAGATACCATAGTCTTCTAGATCATACTAAAATATTACGGCCCTGCGACAACTCGTTTAACTTTAAAAATTTGTCGAAGTCTGCAAAAATTGTCATCTTTTTTGACATTTGTCAAAATTAAACCTTTCATCGACGTTTTCTCAAAAACGCGTGAACCGATTTCAGAAATTTAAAAACATATTTTATCTGTCTCAATGAGGACTATCGTTTGTCAGTTTTGTGCGAAGATCGGCTGAGCCGTTCCATTGAAATTTGGAAGAAAGTATCGAACTTTAGGTCCAAATTTAAGCTCAAACTACCGAATCGATTTTAAAAAATCAAAAACTGTTCGAAAGATATTAGTTGGGAATGATACTGATTAGTTTTAGGTAAAAATCTACCGAGCCGTTTTCTTGTAATTGAATGTTGAAAAAAAAAATTAAGCCGATTTTTATGGAACCTTTTTTGGCGATATATCACGGTCTTACTGAAATACTACTGCCTTACAAGTAGTTTAATTTTATAAATTCATCAAAGTTTGAGAAAATGAGTGGTTTTTTTGAAGTTTGTTAAAATTAAAATTAAATGATTTACTTGGTATAACGATAGAGTTACTTGGTCTTAATGAACAAACTAAACCATTCAAGTCCTACGGAAACTGGTTCAATTATAAAAACGATTAATTTATGAAAATTTGCTTTTAGAAAATACTCCGCGTTAACGTGTTCGTTCGCTTTCAATAATGTATTTTAAATCCGCTCGGAATACTTTTAATCACTCATAAATTAATTTATTTCTTATTCATTAAGTCTTGACTCAAGGCAAAATACCAATACCAACTAGATTAAATACAATTTGAAGTTTTAAATTTATTAAAAATAATGAAACTTCGATGAAATGAAATGCTTATGTCAGTGGTTTCCAACCTGTGGGGGGCGCAATTCTAGACCTCAGGAAAAGATAATCTTGTAAGAGTACTGCGTATAGAAAAAATGGAATTGTGGAAAATAAGTTAGAAATACCATAAGAATGACATGTTTATCACTTGAAATTATTTGCCTTTCTGATAAAATGAAAGATAGTAAAGTTTTTATGAATATAGATCTTTCAGAGATCTGTTTTAATATTTTTGTAAGATTTGTTTTTATTATTATTTCATATAATAATTATTTTTCAACTTCCCGAACGAGAAGTTTGTTTTCTCTAGAAAGTTTTACTCTCTAATTTTATTCTCTGAAGAAATTCTGAATATTTCTTCAACATTATAAAACACACATTTTTACATAATTTGTAATTACTTTTTATTACAAAAGATGCACGATGGTCGAAAGCAAACAGAACTTTTAACTTCCCGTAGGCTAAGTTATTGTAATGGGCCGAAAATCGAAATTGAAAATTTTTACATTTCTCGACGTTTTGAAGGTTTCTGAACGTTTTGGCATACCTCAGAAAAAATGGATGTGTGTGTTTGTACGTATGTATTTCCAGTCACATTTTCGGGCGCACGGATCCACCGATTTGAATGTTTCAAAAAACATTCGATTCCTATTGATAGGGAGAAGAGCCGATTAGTTTTTGGCAAAGGCAGGCCCAGCCGTTACGGAGATAAAGAGCAAAGAGTGCAGAAAATACAAATCGAGTTTTTGAGAGAACGGAGCCGATTTGAATGATCTAAAAAAAACATTCAATTAGTAATGATTGGGAGAAGTGGTTATTAGTTTTTCGCAAAGGCAGGCCCAGCCATTTCGAAGATACGGAGCTAAATGTACAAGAAATGGTAGTTTTTGAGAGAACTAAGCGTCCGATTTAAATGATTCAAAGAACTTTCTGCTTGTCTTAACAAAATAATTGATTTTGGAAAAAAAATTGTTTCAACTTTTTTTTAATTTTTTTGTATATCGAAAATAATTCAGGTTTTATTTTTAATTATGACTAAAGTTCTAATGTACTTTAAACAAATAATTTTAACTTTGCAATTCAGATTATATAATTCTTATAAATATTAGACAATGTTACGATATTTATAATAATCTATTTGAAAACATTCAGTATTCCTCGAACATTTCGTTACGGTACGGGAAGTTTCAGCAATTTGCCTTAAGGCACGATGCCATACACTGCACTAGTTCTTACTGAATTCCTTCATTTGATACTTTAAACGGTTTTAAATATATGAAAGCGTCAGTTATATATTTTGAATAGTTATATTTATATATCCACTATCTATTTTATTTTTTTTCAAAATATTAGGCATGACAAATGCGGTTTACTTATACAAGTGTTAAAAATGAAGTAATTAATCAATATGCCATGACTAGATTTATGAAATTGCCTATGTCACGCGTTAACATGTACAATAGGGGCGTAGCGTGCCTTGACGGGGCCTCGTATCAAAATTTGTTTGGGGGCACCCTCAAAAAGAATTTATTTTTACGATATTTTACACCTTAAAAACAAATGAGAAAGGTTACAACAGAATTTATAATAGTAATTAGTTAACAAGAACTATGATATATACCTTTCATTTATTCCTTGTTTTGCTGTTAAAAGCCTCTCGATATTCTTTCATATAAGCAATAATAATTCCAATATGGACTTACGGGATAGAGCTATGGGGCTGCGCCAGCAAGAGTAACATTCAAATAATCCAGAGAGTACAAAACAAAACTCTGAGAATGATTTGTAAGGCTCCTTGGTTTATGACCAACCACATGATCCATAAAGACCTAAAAATTCCAACAGTGGCGGAAGTTATTAAGAACAGAAGTTTTATCTTTCAAAACAAATTGGATGCACACGTCAATCCGGAAATGCAAATAGTACAAACAGCCGAAAAATTAAAACGCCTGAAAAGAAAATGGCCCAGCGATCTACCGTCAACAACATAATTTCCCTGTTTTGCACAGGAAAATTTTCAAACAAGTTATTTTTAATTATTATTTATTATTGATTATCGTTTTTATTATTAATACTATTATTTTAATTATTATTTATTCATTCATTTATTCTATTTCTTTTCTTTAATTTCCATTATTCTATTTTTTTTTTTTCTTTTTGATTTTGATTTTCAATACCATAACTTTTAACTTATAGATTGTATTGTAATCTGATTGTTAAAATTAACAGAAATAAAGAAAAAAAAAAATATATATATATTAATCACATATGTTATTCGAGGCAATTTAGGATTCAAACCGAGACTTAGAATCCAATCCTAAAAATAAATTATTACAATAATAAAATATAAACCTCAAAAGCCATTAGAAATTTAAACAGTTAGATACCTTTAGTATCTTGTAGCATTGTCGAAAACTAAATTTTCATATCCAAATAATAAGCTCTAGTTTTTTTTTGAGACATCTCCAAACGCGGGCCTTATAAAAATAATTAGGCTTTTAGCACAGTAACCAACAAATAAATTATACTTACCCTTCATATTATATATCAAACAGCACTTCTTAAAATTCATTTTGAGGTTATTATTCTTATACTCTTTTTAACTCAACCGTTAAACGTTTAAAACGTTTAATCGAATTCAAAAATTTTAATATACTTTTTGAAATTTTTGTAAAAACTTCTAAGTTTTTAAATTTTTTGAAAAAATTAGTTTGTTTTAAGTAATTGAAGAAGTTAAAATTCTGTTTTTGTAAAAGAAATGCAATTTATTTCATTTAAAATTTTAAAATTTTTACTGTAACTTCCCGTAGTAAGTTATAGTAGTCGCAAAAAAACCGAGAATGAAAATTTTATCGACGATTTCGGGAACAACATTCGATTCGTATTGATAAAGAGGCTGATTAGTGTTTGGCAGAGGCAGGTCTAGCCGTTCCGAAGATACGGGGCAAAAAGTTCCAAAATCGGTAACCCAGTTTTTAAGAGAACGGAGCGTCCGAATTTAATAATTCAAAAACCATTATTAAATTTTTGGGAAGGCAGATCTAGCGGTTACAGAGATCTAGTAAAAAAAATGAAATAAAAAATTACATTAGGCGGTCGTGCATGATTATTATCAAATATTTTATTTATTTATTTATTTATTTATTATACGCCAATCGGCTATAGAGATTTTAATATGTATCAATTTTGTTTACGTTTGCGTAACGTTTCTATGGGTTCCGTAAAATCGTTTGTTTGTTTAACAGCGACGCGGCGCTTACGCGCTTCGATATTTCATCTCATCAAAAACATTTTTCTTCAAAAGTTTTGATAAATATTGATATAATATATATATATATGTATATATATCCTTGCTCTGTAACTGATACTACAGAATTTAAAAATTAGATCAATCGATTTTTCATTAAAAAAGTTGTGAAAAATATTTTCTAACAAAACATTGCACATTTATTACATTAGGTAACAAATGTATATAACTTTGTAACTCCCGATATACATTGCGCGTATATTGCACTTAGTTAACATTTGTTATGTAACTTTGCAACTATCGATAAACATTGCGCGTACATTACACTTAGTTAACATTTGTTATATAACTTTGCAACTATCGATATACATTGCACGTACATTACACTTAGTTAACATTTGTTATATAACTTTGCAACTAAAAGTTACATTGCGCGTACATTACACTTAGTTAACATTTGTTATATAACTTTGCAACTAAAAGTTACATTGCGCTTATATTACATTTAGTTAACATTTGTTATATAACTTTGTAACTAACAAGTTTCATTACGGCAACATGTAGTGTTTACTGGGGCGTATACTTCTTCCACTCCTGCAAATTCTTTTGTCAATCCTCAATTCAAGACATGGATGATGTGGGATCAAATGGCAGACATAGACGTAAGTTCTTGGATCCATTCATATTGTTGTTTAATAATGAATCGATAATTTATACATCCTTATTTTGATACATTGCAGATCGTGGCCGTCGTAATAGAGTTCGAGAGAACGGAGTGCTCGATAGAGTTCGAGGAAGCTCACGCGACCGAAGAACTCGCAGAAACGTCGAACGAAGGCGCAGGAGTACAACTAGATCCAGGTCGATGCCCAGATCGAGATCAACGTCGTTTTCAATGTTCAGATCGTGCGTGCTTATGTCGTCGACCATGTACAATTTCAATCAAATACAGCAACAGACGACATCGACATTGACATCGACAGAACATCAACGACGACCTTGGCAACCAAGTATGGCAGCTCCACCAACGCTGCCAAACAATATGTACAATCCTCCTCCACCTGGGCCACCACTGCCAAACACTATGTACAATCCACCTCTACCTGGGCCACCACTTCCTTTACTGCCACACCCAGATATGCCGCCTATAAATGGCAATCGGTACAATAACGGTCCGCCGATGATGGTTGCTGTACGACCTACGATGAGAGGCGGACCTCCTGCTTTTCCAAGAGCTGCGGGACCACCACCTCAGCCGTATTACAATGGAGGCGGTGACAATTACGGTGGCAATTACGGTGGCGATTACGGTGGCGATTACGGTGGCGATTACGGTGGCGATTACGGTGGCGATTACGGTGGCGATTACAGTGGCGATTACGGTGGCGATTACGGTGGCCATTACGGTGGCTATTACGGAGGCAATTCGGGTAGCACGATAAATATTAGAGGAACCTTCCACGGCACGGGTGTAAACTCGGTGCAGGTGCGGATTCAGTTTCCGGGGGGAGGGCTGGTAATTGAAAATCTTCCATAGTTTTGTATGGAAATGTACTTAAACCACCTCCTGAGGAACGGTTGATTTGATCGGGTGAAATAAGATAAGTAGAATAGAAATATTTATTAGTATATATATATATATATATATATATATATATATATATATATTACTATTAGTATATATAATATATATATTTATATTGAACTGGCAATTTAAATTTTTGGCACAAATACCAGACTTTTACTCGGTACTTGCAATTATTACTATATTATTTAAATCCAAAATTATCTATGCCAAGAAATATTACTATATGTAATATTTTTAATACTAAATGCAAAATATAAATTGCCAAAATGCAAAAAGAAAGTTCGACAGACCTATTTTTATTATTGTAGTCCAAATTATTAGTTCTACTTTAATTTTTGTTTTTTATGAGAACAAATTAGTTATCTAAAAATTATTTATGTGTTAAATATTGGTTGTTCACATTTTTATTTGATATTTGCAATATTTTATTTATTCAATTTTTATAAAATTGCTTGTTGTATTTTATATTACGTTTAAATAATAGTTTATTTTATGGTGCTTGCACAAAGTATACCAGACTGCAAAAAACGTTCCATTTGGCATCTATTTAAAAAAAAAGTGAAAAGATACAATTTAGTGATTGTGAAGCGATAAAGTGATTTGATACATTTTTATATATTACGAATGAAACCAAGACCCATCCAAGACTTTTGTAATTAAACCTATCAATAATTAAAAAATAAAATTAACTTTGTTTTCCTATTTTAATTTCACATTATTGTTTTAAATGCTTTTAGCAGTCTGGTGATATTTACGTCCACGTCTTTAAAATCACTTTGCAAGGTTTTAATAATGCTCAACAATTTTTTAAACAACAATAATGTGCACAAATTGTTATAATATAAATCTTAACTCAAAGCATAGTTTAAATTAATATTAATTAATTGAAGTATTATTTTTATGTTAAATAATTTTCTTCGTCTGTATATATAGATATATTTGAATGATTGTGTGGAAAATTATGAATTGTGTCTATTAATTTGTAGTCTTGATAACATGATAAAGCATTTTCAATATAACTAATAATATATAACTGATAATTCAAGGTTTGTATATTTAATTAATAAATAAAATCAGATTAATGTTATTAGTAATCTTGTTAATTAATCTTGAGGCAGGTTAAGTTATTTACTCATTATGAAAATTTTATTTTCAAACTAGTAGTTTAGTAATAGGAATGCCGATACATTTTTTAAATAAATTATTATGTTATAAAAATCGTCTAAATTTGTTTAATTAAAATATACATTTGATTTGAAACAATTAATTTATTAAATTATTTATAAATAAATAAATTTAAATTGTATTTTCTAAAGGGTATGCTCACAATTTAAAGTTGTTATTATTATTTGTTTAATTATTTTATTAATGTTATATTAAAAATGTTTATTATGTATCAGACTACTTTTTCAAGAAGCGAATGTACGTAAATAATTTTAATTTCACCCTGCACAAAACTGAAATGTGCTCAAATACGATAACTATGTATATATTTAGAATTAATCTATAAGCTCTTGTAAATAATTTATGAAATTTTCTAGTCTAATCAACTGATATTTATATAGTTTACGACTTAAGCAAAAAAGTGTACTTACCTTAATCGCCAATTATCATGAATTGGCGTTTATTAGTATTATTAAAGTTTAAACTTTTAATAAGTAATTTTGAAAAGACAAATATATATATGTTGTGATATCACAATCCAAAGGCCTTTGAGACTTATCTATATAAAATTAAATATAAACGAAACAAAGGGAGCAACTGTAGTTTTTAATAAGAGAGCTTATATTAAGTTAAGCCTTATATTTGTATCTTGCTGGTATTATAAAATAATGATAGGATTTAATTACGGGTACAGAACCCTTTAAACAAATATTTTAGTGTTAGATCTCGTGATATACATAGTATTTTATGCAACTTTATTCCATTCCTTTCAAATCATTTATTATTATAAGGTTACGATTGAACATGTGCATATCGAAAATGAAATAATAAATTATTTAATAAACAACTATTTTTATTTATAAATTGTATTATGTAACATTTTGTTTGGTGTTTATGATTTCAGACAGAATTATTTATCCAGAACCGTATAAATTATTCCACTTCACGTATTGGTCTAAGTCCATGTCTGATACACTAGCTCGAACTCGTTTCAAAGCAGTCTCAAAATCTTGGAATGTTATTGGACGAACCTGTAAAGAAAACTAGGTGTAAGTGGCATTTTCCTCAAGGCAAGTTGCATCAAGTATTAGCAATTTTATTACTAATGTTTTAAAATCTAGCGGAATTAGAATGAAGACTCTTATATCATATTTTCAAGAATCATGTAAAGTGAATTGCAAAGTTAAGAAGTCTTGCCTTTGCCAAAACCTGGGCATTTCTCTACACTATCAATACAATTTTTTCTAAAGTATGACAAAATGTTCAGAAACCTTCAAAACGTAAAGATACTCAAAAGTTTCATTTTCAATTACTATAACTTACCTACGGATTTTTAACTGCATTGTTGAGAAGTGGTTCAGAATCTTCATCAGTATTTTCATATACTAAATAGAATTAATCGATTATTACTAATTTTGATCGATTCAATGCCCTTCATCTTGTTTTAAAATGAACCTTTGCAGTATCGCTTTATTTACCTTGCTTGCCACACCTCGTAATTGGATACCGTAGGTTCAGATAAGCTTGATTATAGTTTTCTATTTCATTAGCTGTAGAGATTTCTATATTAAAGAGAAGAGAAAATAATTTTATGTATACAAACCTGTGTAAAACACAATAAGTTGAAGATTTATTTCATATTTAGCATATAAACAAACAGCCAGATAACCTCACAAACACTAAAACTTGTAATGTTTTGGATTAGCAACAAATTAATTAATTTTGAAATTTTCTACAATAATTTATACGTGAGAATATAAACTTTCTTTAGGCTTTAAGCGCGTGTAACAAAGTGACAACAAAAAAAAAGCGCTTATGACGCTAGTGTTATTTTGACATTTGTGCTTTTTAGAGGTTAGGTTTTAAAATTAAAACTTTTAATCGCACAGCAAAAACCTAGTTTTTTTGACAATTTTCGACTACCAATAGATATAATAATAGACCTGTAACATAGCATTCTAATTTATCCCAGAATTGGCCACTTAATTCTTTCGATCCGTATGTTTAATCGATATACTGGTCGATGTAATTTTTGATTACTGAAGGAATAGAGCTTACTGAATTATGTATTTAATGTTATTGTTAGCATATTTATTATGTCAAACACAGTTATTCACCCATGCAGTTTGATTTAAATCGAAATTTGAAGCCGGATTATGTTTTCCGTTACGGGTTTTTTTTGACAGCATCCTGGTCCGCAGGTATAAAAGGAGTAGCTGATCAGAACGCTGCTCATTCGTGCGTCAGATTCCGAACAGTAAACATCGAAATGAATAGTGAATAGTGAATAGTAAATAGTGAATAGTGAGTAGTGAATAGTAAATAGTGAATAGTGAATAGTAAATAGTAAATAGTAAATAGTAAATAGTGAATAGTGAAGTGAAATGTTCAAAGTTAATAGTGAATAAAGCGTGTTTCAGTGTGTATACAATAAAGGTAAGAGCCATAGATAAAAGAAGAGTACACCTAAGTCTGTTTTTACACGGTTTGAAAATTGAATATTTTTAATATTTTTACACGATTTTATTCCATTTAGCACGATTTGAAATTTCATGTACTTAATTTTTTTTGTCAAATTTAATTTTTGCGAAGTATGTTCATAACACAAAAAAGTATTTATGAAAGAAAAAAGTCTGAAACCATCGATAGTATCAGAATTATATATCGGATTTAATAAAATAAACATGAATTCTTCCCGAGTCAAAATTTAAAATCTTTTAAGTACCCGAAACAGTTCCGAAACGTGAGAATTAACCTCTTTTCGCCATATAAATGTAAGATCTTTTAGGTACCTTAGACTCCACTTAATGCAGTTTTAGGAACGTAATTCACCTAAAAGAGCCTACATTTTCGAGTACTTTAGTTACTTAAAAGAGCCTAAACGTCAAAACTGTCAGGGTGTAGTTTGAGATTAGGTTATTAGGATTTTAAAATTTTCCTGAAAATTTATAAAAAAGTATGGAAACTTAAATAAATAAGTAATTTAAATATATTTTATATTTATTCCTTTTTTGAACAGTTATTTATACAATGAATGAATGTGTTCGTCTCTACCTGTCGCAAAATTCTATACAAAAATAATACATTTATTAATACTGTTCACAAATATATCTTTTATCAATATATTAGTAATTTTATAGTTATATTCTTGTATTGTATTGTTTTATTCATCAAAAATATGTTATTATTTTTATTAACATGTACAAACGTCAACTTATTTTTCAATTCATCTCTATGAACGAAGAGGAGAATACTGCTCGTAGTAATAAAGCAATCCAATCGTGCTTATTTCCATTTGCATTTAAAAGTTGTTCAATATATACATTGATAGCTTCTCCTAAAAAATTGTATATATTTAGTTTTAGCTATGTAAATATCTTATAAAGAAAAACAATTTAATCCTTAATTTACCAGATTTTTCCCAGAAGTGTAGAAATGTGCCGATATATAGATCAATAGAAAGTGTTGTTGCTAGTTGTAATAAGAATGATATTGTTATCCACTGTGCACCAAAAGTCCACTTGCTTTCGAATCAATAGCAGTTGCATATTAATTTTCATTCACATTTTTAAAAAAGAATGAATACTTCCCAAACAAAATAATCTTAAAAACAAAATACACCTAAGTAGTCTGTTTTTACACAATAGATTGGTTCCAGAAGAAGCCGTGTAAAAAAAGACATTGATCTTATACAAAAATGGGTGATTTATTCCTAATCTCTAAAACATATTAAAATTAGTGAAAAACAAGAATTTTTAAGAACAAGAATTCATGTTTATTTTATTAAATCAAATACATAATTCTTATTTTCACAAGCATAGTAATTAATGATAAAAAAGATATGCACTCTAATCTTAAAAGTAATATAATTTAAATGTATGGCAAGTTCAGGAACTAAAAAACTATGTTGTGAACGAAAAGAATAGGAACATACTTCGCAAAAATTAAATTTGCCAAAAAAATTTTAGTACATAAAATTTCAAATCGTGCTAATAAATGGAATAAAATCGTGTAAAAAAATTTAAAATATTCAATTTTCAAACCGTGTTATATCAAAACCGTGTACAAAAAGACCGTGTAAAAACAGACTTAGGTGTATGTATATATTGATATCCAAATTGAGATAAAACTAAATTCCTAGGATTAAAATTCATTTACGAGACATTCTTGTTTGTTATCCATCTCTCCATTTAATAGTTATTTTGCTATCTAATCAATCATTAATAAAGTTATATTTGACGAAATCTTTGAATAGTTTCTGTATAAGTATTTTTTTTAACGTAAGTAACCAAAACCCTGAACTACTTTTAATTTATACCAATTGTAGCTCAAACCTATCTATCGTTTTAATCCAGTTTTTATTGCAAGGTTTATTTAAAACTATAACTAAACCCTTGCGCTTTATAAACTGTCTGGTCTTTGAGTATGCTCTCTTATTTGAGACAATATCAAAATTCTTGCCCTTGAAAACTTCTCAGAACATTGTATACTCTGTTGGAATTTATCCTTTAAATTATTGCATTGTTTGTTAATCCTTTTTAATCCCGAAACAAAATTTGATGTATCATACATCTTCTGGGTGTTAAGGCACTCCTACGCCTTATCATTGCATTCTGCGGCAATTTGCAGCTACCACCAAGGACTTCTATTGAATATATTGTTATCATATTAATTGAAGATATTGTAATTATCATATTAATTATTTTTGCTGCAATTATTATGAAAAAATACCTTTGCGGAAAACTGGTGTCAGAATAGGTGACTTTTAACCTGCACTTCACAATCTTAGAGGTGCTGCAAAAATCTTTTTCAAGGTGTTTAGGCTTCCATCCCCTAAGAACATAAGATTCATTTATTAATATTTTTTTTGCAAATGTTATTGAAGTATTTAGAGTTATAATTACTTGGCTTTGTCCTTGGAGTTGCAGACTTTTCTTCTGGTTCTGTATCAGAGCATTCCCCAGTGACTTGAAAAGTATTCTGTTATTGCCGTAAAGGAGACACTTCTATTTGGTTTCGATTTCAAATTATCGTTGATTTGTGCCACAAACCGAAGAGTTAGGTCATCCATTAAAAGATTATTCGCCTTCTGCATCCAAATTGACACACAAATATATATAATATATATTTACACACACATATATATATATATATATATATATATATATATATATACTAGCCAACCCGGTAAACATTGTTTTGCCATTAAAAAATATGCCTAAATTGATAAAAAATTAAAAGTGCCAAAAATCAAATTTTTATAGCTTTGGACTCTAATTCTTTGACAAATAGTTAAAAACTTGTATAATTTTCAAAATTATTTGACATTTCATACTTCAAAAATTAATTCACTCGCATCATAGTTTTTTGTTTATAATACTTTTGTCATGTCATATATGTCAATAAAATTTTCTTTCAAATATTATTTATTTGTTAATAAATTAATAATTATTTTAAGTCATCAATGAATAATTATATAATTGTTAAATTCATAAGTTTTGATAAATCAACACAGGAATATTGTGGAAATAAATATTTTTTTACATAAAGATCTGATTTTTGACATTTGCATTTTAATTATAACTGTCAAAATATTTTCTTTTCTTTTTCTAATCAATTAAATCTAAATCGTAAATCTATTTATATAATTATTTTCATAAATATTGACAAATGACATTTAATTTGTTTACATGTCAACATTTATTTAAATTTTTAAGCATTGATTTTTAATTAGATTTAAAACTATAAACAAATTTGGATTTAAATGTTGGATATTTCTATATATGTACATGTTTTTGAATTTTATTTTTTGAAATGTCAAATTTTTTTTTCAAAATTTATATATCGAATTTTCCTTAAATTTTGACATTTGTCATTTTAGTGTTTTGTTTTTTTTTGGTCATTTTCTGCCAAAATTTTTAAAAATTTATAAAAATTATATATTTATATTTCAAATTTACTTTTCAAAATTTCCTATAACCTAAGTTGGATATATATGCACACGATGAGACAATAAAATTTAAAATCGGTTCAGTAGTTTGGGCGTCCATCGCGAACCAACATCGTGACACGAGATTTATATATATATATTTATATATTTATATATATATAGATATAACATTTTAATAGTATTTTCATGATACATATTCATTATATGCATAATACATCATTATATACATATACATACCTGATAATTAGATGCCGGAAAGACATGCATTTTTTTATTATATTTGGGGTTATTACAATTTGGCACATTACACTTTACCATTTTAACTTAATAATAAATGAAAAAAGTATTCACCAAAACATAATTATATATAAACAATCACAGAAAAACAAATATAACACATCTCAACTACAATACGCGATGACAACTTGACAAGAAAATGGCGATCGAATCAATCGAATGTAGATCAAGTTAGATCAATGAAATTGGAAATCGTTTAAATCGCCATCCTTCGAAATATTCAAATACCAGTGAACATTTAAGTGAAATTTAATATGGCAAAGTGTTTTTATAGTACACAAAAAAGTGTCAAGTGCGGGTTAAAATATTCAGCTATTCCAATACCAGTTCCCACAAAGGTATTTTTTTTTATAATAATTGCAGCAATAATTATATGTAATCAAGATATTTCGACATGTTATTATGTTGAATAGGTGTCTTGGGGGTACCTGCAAATTGCTGCAAAGTACTTTTGACACCCAAGGAATGCATGACACTTTCAAAATTTTATTCAAGGAGATAGGATAAGAAGAATTCATAAACAATGCAATAATTTAAGGAATAAATAGTAAAAGTATTAAATGTTCTAAGAAGTGTTCGAATTTAAAAGGAAGAAAATTTACAGCCGATGACATGTCCTCAAACATTGAGAAAGTTGCATTCAGAGGTACAATAGTATAGCATTATTAATGAGTGTCTATTTAAAACATTAGATTTTCCAGCTATTTCTCTTAAAAAGTATTAGTAGCAGATACTGTGTTTTGATGTTTGATGAAATATAATTATCTTCAGAATTGTTATATGATTGGATTGAATCTCATATTGTTGATGTTGCAAAACAGTTATTTA